CCCCAAAAAAAAAGAAGTGTCTCAGAGTGTACTACATGTGGTTTGTACAGTTTAAGATGATAGTTAAAGGGCAATAACAACAATTGCAAGCATATAATGTTTTAATTAGAGTTCTCTAATCCTCCATGATGTTCTGGAGTCTCTAACCAGCTCTAATCGTGACACAAAAACTGATTCGGACTCTGGGTTTAAACGAGAAACTATAATGTTAGCATTAGCTGTGTTGGTTAAAATTCTAAAAATCCTTCTTTTATCCCCCGTCATTACAGCTCAGCTGGTTCTCATCAGTTAACCTTTCTCCAGTTGGTTTCGTTGCCTTTGTGCAGTCTGGTACCTTCTGGGCTTCACAGATTAATTTAGAAACCGTGTTGGCCACTGATAACTGATTAGATGATGCGAGCACAGCGTCTGCCAGCAGTAGCACAGTGTTCTCGCTCAACGTTATGCCTTTGGCAAAGAGGGGCTGCACAGTAAATTCAATTAAGGCTTCAAGTTCAATGTCTTAATTTTGTAGAAACATTTCAAAGTGCACCTTTTTTTAAATTTAAGATTTTAAAACAATAACTATATGGCCATTAGGTTTTATAATTACAACTGGGGAAGAAAAACACTACACGATGGATTATATGTTGCACTGTTTATAGGAAAATAAAAAGCTAAAATACAAAAAGTGAGTCAAATATCTAAGTAACTCCATGATTTTAGAATTTTCAGAGCAATCATACGCAGTATAAACTTGAAATAATTTGATGCTGTATGACCCTAACAGTGTCTTCGTGTCAAAATTCATGCTCAATAATCCAGGTAAAAAATCCAACAATGTTCAGTCAGGTCATCTGGACGGTTTCTTTCTTTTTTCTTTTTTGTTGTAAAGACATTTCGACCTTCATCCAAAGGACTTTGTCAATTCGAGGAGCCACAACAAACTTACCAGTAGTCCTGCAAGCAGCACACTCCCATAGTGGACCAACCAGTTTGCTGGTGATAAGATGGTTTCTGGGGCCTGCTTTCTCCCCCATCGACTCCTTTCAGGCAGCTGAAATATAATTTTATCATATAATATATTAACCTAATGAAATGTCCAATATGTATCCTGTTTTGTTAATTAGAATGATATTGTGTTAAAACATGATCCAATTTCGTTTCCGGTAGAAAATGTAGTTTCAGCTACATGCCTACAACTCCCAGACATTCACACACCCACCCATTATAGAACACATGATGGCTAGATATTATTGGTTGAGAGCTGGGTCACATGATAGAGTAGGACTTCCCATTTGTTCATGGTGGTGACGACGGCGCCGTTGTTCGTGACCGCATGGTGGAGTTCCAATGGCCCAGGCCTGGTGATCTTGTACTTTACATGTAAAATAAACCTGAAATGGAAGACAATTGCTCCTCCTGTCCCTGCTTCAGATCAGAACACATTCTTACACAGCCATAGCCAAAGTGGTTCAAAACATCAAAGTCCATGCTCAATAATCCAAGTAAAAAATCCAATAATGTTCAATCAGGTCTTCTGGGTGGTTTCTTTTTTTGTTGTTGTTGTTGAGAAGTTTTGTCCTTCATCCAAAGGACTTCATCAATCCGAGGAACCACAAGAAATTTACTAGTAGTCTCACAAGCAGCACACTCTCATAGTGGACCAATCAGTTTGCTGGTGATATCCATTTTTTTACCTGGGTGTTATTTCAGAAGCCTTTTTGTGAGTTCAGATGCAGCTTTACAAACCTAGGCTGTGCTGCCTTTGTCCTCTTAAATAGAACATAAAAATTTCTGTCTGCTCTTTCCAACAGGCCTAACTTGTTCAATTTTCTTAAATCAAGATTGACAACAGTCATTAGTCTTATTGACTTCTAAATGAGCAAACAATGAACACCAAATTGTTTAGAAATAGCTTTGTAACTTTTCTTAGATTGATGAGCAACAACTGCTATTTGAAGATCATTGATAATGTACTTCCTCTTTGACATCACAGACTGAATACTTCAAAACATCATATAAATCAAAATGTCTGCTTCTGTAAAGGTGCTCACACTAATGATTTAAAAAGTGCATTTGATTATCACCACCTGGCTGCCACATGTCCTCCTAATTCTTATGAAAGTGGTAAAAATGCACCATTTTGTGAGTGATATGTTATAATTTTTTGCAATATATTCAGCCCCTCTTTTTATCTAAATTTAGGGACCTAAAAATGAATTGTGGACACACTTTTTATTGTTTTAATATTAAGATGAGATACACAATGTTACTTTCAAGGTTTGACCAAAACAGCTACAGCTTTGTCAGTTCTCAGCATAATCTTAATCAAAACTTTTG